TCTAAGAGCAATTGAAGATTTTCCATTTTCACGAATGTCAGCATTTTTTGTCAGCATTGCATAAAGCAAGACGCCTTCTAACGACCCGTAGAATCATCGGTGTTCGGCGTAGCAGCTTGTGCAAATTCATTTCTCATTATCTTGGTCTTCATCGTGTTGTGCTACGCCCATTCGAGATACTTAGCAATTATAATGTTCCATAAACTTAGAGCATCATAATTTAATACCTTGGTTGTATACCATATGCGGTTAGAGTTGTGGTTTCATATCCAAGAATACTTGTGCAAAACCGCAATACTCGTGAAATTAGTTAAATCTAAAATCAGTGTAACGACACTATACTTTTTGCGGTACTGCGCTTTACTGCATTTTCTGCTGTTTTCCTTCTGCCTTGGGAGAAAGCCGTGCACGACCTACTAGAAACATTCCATGTACAGCTGATGATGGTTTCTTGTAGTCGAATAGGTTGTAATAATAGTCGAATAGGTCGAATAGCTTGTAGTCGAATAAGATTTCAAAATTTAAATAAGAAGGGCCGTGAGCTGCGTCACGCGCACCACATTACTTTAGCTATAGACCATGCCTGAATAGTACAGTTGTCTGGTGGTACTCCTCAGAATATTTTCCCCCTCATCCCCCCACAAACTGGTATAGGCACTTCAGGTATAACTTGGCGTCTAACAGCAGTTGTCATGAAAAATCGGGAAGTGTTGGCCGAACAACGAAAGCAGAAGACCAAAACCTGCTCAAAGGCAATGACAAATCAACGATTAATGGTAAAGCGGAAAGTAAGTTACTAATTCTATGATGAAAGCCGCCGAATACACCAAATTAGCTCGAGTAGCAGCTGCTAAGAGGGGGGCACGAGTGAAGACTCCATCAACGCATGCAAAACTCATCGATGACCGTTACACCAGTAAGACAAATCGCTGACATTTGAATGTAGTCGACCGTAACGACTGATGAATGGACGATGTCCCCTTGTGCGGTCGATACAACTGGCAGCAGTAAAGTCATCGGATTCTCTACGAACCTGTAACCATGGAAGTAGTTGCCAGCTTCAGTCGGATTTTTTCGTCGTATGGCTTGTTCGTACGCCAGAGCAAATCAGATAACAAATGACTCTTTCAAGACCAGATCGGTGCCCCTAGTCGTATTAGGAAGCAAGACATTTAAGCTGCGGGCAGTGCAGTGAAATCGAAGTCTTGGAGGAGTGATTCGTTATTTGGTATAGACGAGCCGAACAGATTTTAATGTTTATGCAGAAGCATGTTAAGAGTACCTGCGCGAGGTCGCTCAAGCAGATATTAGGTACTGTGGGTGTTCAAACACCATGTAGCCGTCCGTAGCCTATTTAACCCCCCCCGGACACAGGCAATCATTAGCAATGGTGCAGTACGCGGTGAAATCCGATCATGGCGGAGTCATACGTTACAGGGAAGCAATTAGCTTCACTGCCAATTACGTTTACTACGTTTTACACAAATGATAAGTGATGTTCTCACGAAGTTTAGAAACAATGTCGACAAATGTAGGGCAAGTGTTTTCGCGTGCCAGCGTAATAAGAAGGTTTGTGAAACGTCAGGAAAAACACAGAACGAGGCAAAAGTACGCATGCCTGTTAACACGGGACATGG